TATTTTACTCGACAACTATATCGTGAATTACACAGTCACTTATAAAATAGAATCTAACCGTCACGCGACACATACGAGATAAATCGCATATTCGTGCGTTTGTACGTGCATGCGGCGCGTTCCACCAGGCTGCGGTCACGCACCAAATTGTGTAATCCTTCTTTCCATTTTTTCTCCTTCTCGTCCACTCGTCTCCTTCTCTATTACCACACATGCTCGTCGTGACCCGCTATCGCATGTGTCCTTGTTAATTGATGTGGGCTTGGGGTTGATAATTAATCGATTCACACAGATTCGATTTTCTCCATATTTTCTCCGCCTCGTACAACACGTCTTAACACACAGGATACACTTGGCCAATTAACACGTGGTCGACTTCTAAGACAAAAGAGCGTCGCGAGAGGTCGTACCAACTCAGCTTGTAGTAACTAGCGATCATACCAACCTAACTTTCCTCAACACCTTGTTAAACAAAATCACAACTAGAGAACGTTAAATCGCATACGTGGTAATATTATACATATACACTACCAAACAAAATATCCAGAAACTTGCTTATTCTTTAATTCAAGATATATTTTAATTCTAAAATTACAGATAAATCAAATTATGATCTTTTACCTTTATAATCACCTTAACTACGTATGTAAGAATAGACTTATAAGATTATATAAGATACAATGGAGTACAATAGAATATATAAGAACATTATGACACAATGATATTAATTTTTAAAATGTGATATGTAGTATCGCAGTAAAGCTGGTGTTTGTAATTGTCAAACCTTCTAGAATCATCTTGTTACTTTGTAAACTTCTTATCTTTAGATTTCTGGATTTTTGAATCATAAGTCAGATTAAGAAGGATCTTCTAAACTGATAGAAAGATTTCTAATGTTGATACAGTTAGTACTATTTAAATAGCAAATATGTGCAGTAGAATACATATTAAATAGTAACATATATTATTGCTATATTCCCTTCAATAACCAACCTAAATTTATATTTTACCAATCCCATAAAAAGATAGTAAATACTGCTTTTAATTAATGTATCATTCATCTGCACGCTTTCGTCAAATATAAGTATCTACTGTTACTCCTAAACTGACCACACTTATGGACGTTGGTGTACATATGTGTAATCAAATAGTATCCAACAACACTTATACGAAAATTCGCATCATAAATATATAAACGCACGTCGTCCGCGTAACGTTACGATAATTGCAATTTCGTGTCAATGCTATCAGCAGTATCGACTCATATGTAACGTCAATTCATATCAGAGACCAGGCCACACACCACGGACAGGATGGCATCCAGATGTCTGCATATCCTTGGCGAGCACCCTCAATAGTCTTAAGTGCCCACCAGAGGCCTTGGCATTTTAATAGTTAAGGTCCTTCGGACCAAGCGAGTATTTCCTGTCTTAAATCTCTCTTTACGTTTATTGTTTACCACGTGTTAGCTTAGAAAGTTTGTTTTCTCCACATCTGGTATGTTCCGTTGGCAACTTTCTCGCGAGGGCGGCTAAAACCCTTCCTAGTCCACCAACCGTCCTATTATCCAATCGGACACAGTGTCTACTGCCCTCACTTCCTTAACCAAAATTGTCATCAACAAATCCGATAGTCCCGTGTCCTTAGACACACCCA